GGCCCGCGTTGGCCGATGTGTTGAAAACCCACCCCTGCCGATGTTTTCTGCACGTCCGTTCTTGAGAACATGCCTTTTGTACCACGCGCGGGAATCAACCGCGAACCATGTAGTTAGATAGATAGGTTGATGGATAGAAAGATAGATAGAAAGATAGAAAGGTAGCTCGATAGTCCAGCCGCTTTTGAGTTGATGATCAGGGCACTTGGCGTAGAGTTTGTGGGCGTTATCAGAGCCGGCGAAGAGTTGTAGCAAGACCCGGGATTGCAAACACTTAGGCCTGAATATCGAAAGCGATGCAGATCTGGTATCAGCGATCAGGTATAGGGCATTGGGGTTTAGGGTGTAGGGCTGGCACTTAGAGTTTATTAGGGTTGGGGTTGTATGGTCTACCTACCATGTGCTTCCTTGCCGCGGTGTTTTGCCCGAAAGGCTCTCCTTGGGGGTCTCTCTAGGGCTGGCGAACTTTGAGCCCTAAACTCCGTACCCGAAATGTTAAATCTTAAGCTCCATGACACCTCGCCTAGACCCTAAAACCTCAACTCGAATCCCACTCAACACCTCAACCTCGTAATCAGTCAGCTAGTCTAGCGAACCCGGGCTGCAGCGAACCCCGGCCGCCGAAGCCCCAGCACACCCTGCCTGAAACATCCGAATGCGTCAAGCTTTAGGGTGTAGGGTTTAGGGCTTAGGATCGCAGCCAGCAGAGTGTAGAGCAGAGTGATCAGAATAGGGTTCGAGGCGATTTGAGAGTAGGTTTTTTGATTGGTTATGTTGAGGTTGTACTTATACTGGTCATTCAGACCTCCGCCACTGTAGTACCTTGTTTTGATTTGACTGCTTCATGTGCTTATCATAGCACCCTAAAGAGCAGTTTGTCCAGAAACAGTGCTGCAATCCACAGGATGTTGTACAAGCCCTCAACAAACCCTTGCTAGGAGCTCGATCGATGTGTAGCGGTATTCCTTAAGTCCGGGTCGCTGTGGGAGTGCGCTTTGTTCACTTTTTCGCATGACCCGAAAGTCGAAACATAAAGATGCTAAACAAGCAACAATCGCATCGACAACACGTTGCTGACTAGATTTGCAAAGCAACAACAGCAAACATGCCTTTGACTTAAAGTTTTAAAGGCAACTTCCGAAACTGTCGTGTCTGTATATGCATGTTTGAATGTATGTTTTCAGCGACAAAACTAGATAAAGAAAAACATGTATCTATATACATGTATGTCGGGAGATCGAGTCGCTGTTGTGAGAGTGTGCATTTTTTGCATTTCCACCGACCCGTCAATCCGGACATAAGCTAGCATAGTGCCAAATTTAGTGTAAAGAGCTAAAACATACTGTGTTCCTTTGGCTTCGTCGTTTGTCCATAGGTTATGCTGAACTAAACTCCCCGGCCGCCAACGAACCCCTCTACGAATTTTGGCCTAATTAAACTCTGGAGCCTGGCACATGTAAGGTAATCGCTGTACAGCAACCTATAGTATGTTAACACCCACAGACCGACTGGTCTTTTTGAGGCGGCAACTGCGACCTGTATTGGCGCAAAGGCGTCTGGCAGAGTGGTCTGCGCGCAACCTGGGCCAGTTTTCCCGAGATGGCTGCTCTGATTTTGGGTGTCTCTAGACACCCAGTACTGCGATCCTGACCAGAAACCCCATAAGGGTTCCCTGAGTTTAAGAACCACGGCCCCCCGCCCCCTCAAGAAAAAGCAAGCGAACACCCTGTAATGCCGTCATAGAGCCTCACAGAACCCAATCATAGAATGCTCTGTGTCGAAATACTTTCGTCTAAACCTTGAAGACCCCTTGCAAGCCGTGTAGAACCGTTTCCCAGTGAGGGGCCCAGGGTGGCCCGGAATTCAGAATCTCGACAGCATAATATAGAAGCCTAAAGAGTTACCTATAGTATTTTGGTGGTTCGTTGTTGTAATTCTAGTATAATATACACCAAACCCTAGTCTGATTATTAAGGCCCCTACATGAAGCCTGATGGCTTTGACCTCCCACGAGTTTGGTTTGCATCTCTTTCGGGCTGCTCCAGGTCAGCCGTGTTCAGAATTCACGACATGCTGGGCCTGAATTCTTGCAGTCTATTCGATAGCTGAACCTAGACCCTAAACCCTAAACCCCATAGAACCCTTTAAAGGAACCCTTAACCTAAAACCCTAGCTGAACTCTTAGAAGTCGCGAAGTCCTTTTCTGGATAGAACCGCAAGCCGAAAGTCAAGATGCAAGGCTCTAGGCCGCTAGTTAGTTTTGCTGTATGGGTGGTTGTCAAAATTAGGGTCCTTTTTTGGGTCCTTATTATAATACCGCACCTATTGTTTAAGGTACCCAATAAGGGACCATAATTTTGACAACTACCCATATGTTGCTGCTCTCTGGCTGTCGGGACTGCTTTAAGCTTGGGGCCTAGCTGGCAAGAAGAGTGTCGCTTTGCGGGGCTGTGGTGGGGGCACTATTCTTCCAGCATAAACTTGCTGCCGCAGACCTCTAACTCTTGAAGCCTTGACGCTAAACCCTAAACCCCTAAACCCAAAATCCTAAACCCTAGACCGTAGACCCTGAGACGGGAAGCCGAAAGTTCGATCTCGTGCCAGGACATCTTCATTCCCTCGCTGAGCATGGTCTTCTAGCCTTCTGCTTCTTCAGCCGCTCACCTCCAGGGACGATCCGAGGTAGAAAAAAGGGGTCCGGGGTTTCGGCATTAGGGTTTAGGGAATAGGGGCATTAATGATTAGACCAAGCCTATATTATCACGCAGAGTTTCCTATCAACAAGGGGTGGAGACCCCTTTTCGGCTTGCCCTGGAGTGGAGAAACGAGCCGCCAATAATGCTCATGATGCTCGCCTCCCGGGCCCGGCCGGGCGGCAATGATGCTCATGATGCTCGCCACGCCGGCCCGGCCGACCATCAACTATGCGCATGATTTTTGTTTTTGAGTGGCCTGCTTTCGGTGCTGTGACTGTTCCAATGTCCTGCATTGCAACAAGCATGCTTGTCTTTCAGTGTCTGCTTTGGCTCCTATGCTCAAGCTCTTCCGCCCAGCCAACCAAGATCAGCAACAAAACTCCGGCCGGCGGCATGTTTTTCCTTAAAAGTCCGCTTGCCTGCCTGGGCTTGTCCACTGCTGCTCTGCCCTAGCTT